CGGCGCCGCGGGCAGCGTCTGCGCGGGCGGCGCCGTCGTGGTCGCCGGCGGCGGCGGCGGCGGCGCCGTCGTCGTGGTCGCGGGCGGCGTGGGCGCGTCGGAGGGCGTGGCCGTGGGCGCGTCGGAGGGCGTGGCCGACGGAGCGTCGGAGGGCGTGGCCGACGGCGCGTCGGAGGGTGTGGCGGTGGGGGCGTCGGAGGGCGTGGCCGTCGGAGCGTCGGAGGGCGTGGCCGACGGCGCGTCGGAGGGCGTGGCCGACGGCGCGTCGGAGGGCGTGGCCGACGGCGTAACAGTGGGGGCGCCCGTGGGGGCGCAGGTTTCCGCGTCGTCGAGATCGCAGCAGTCCGTCGTGCCGCACGGCAGCCCGTACGGCGCGACGAGGTTGTTGCCTACCTTGATGTAGCACTGGTAGACGCCGCAGAGGGCGAGCGGGATCGTGCCGTTGATCTCGTTGTCGTTGAGGTACCTGCGACGCCGAGGGGTTTGCGCGCCGCGCCGGGCGTCGGGGACGCGGAGGGAACTCGCAGGTGCGTCAGCGCCGCGAGCTGGCCGATCTCGGTCGGGATCGGACCCTCGAGCTGGTTCGCTTCTATGTACCTGCGACGCGAGGGGCGGTCGCGCGCCGCGACGGGCGTCGGGGACGCGGGGGGAACTCGCAGGTACGACAGCTTCGCGAGCTGGCCGATCTCGGTCGGGATCGGGCCGGTGATGTCGTTGTACTCGAGCCACCTGCGACGCCGAGGTTCAATCGCGCGGCGCGCCGGGCGTCGGGGACGCGGAGGAACGCGCAGTACCTCCAGCGCCGCGAGCTGGCCGATCTCGGTCGGGATCGGGCCGGTGATCTTGTTGTTGTCGAGGCGCCTGCGACGCGAGGGGCGGTCGCGCGGCGCGACGGGCGTCGGGGACGCGGAGGGAACTCGCAGCTGGACCATATTCGGGAGCTGGCCGATCTCGGTCGGGATCGGGGCGGTGATCTTGTTGTTGTCGAGAAGCCTGCAACGCCGAGGCGCGGTCGCGCGGCGCGGCGGGCGTCGGGGACGCGGGGGAAACTCGCAGGTCCTTCAGCTCCGTGAGCTTGCCGATCTCGGTCGGGATCGAGCCGTCAATCTGGTTGGCGCCGAGGCCGAGGCCGAGGCCGAGGCCGAGGTACCTGCGACGCCGAGGGGCGATCGCGCGGCGCGCCGGGCGTCGGGGACGCGGAGGAACGCGCAGCCCCTCCAGCGCCGCGAGCTGGCCGATCTCGGTCGGGATCGGGCCGGTGAGCTGGTTCTCCGCGAGGTACCTGCGACGCGAGGGGCGGTCGCGCGGCGCGCCGGGCGTCGGGGACGCGGGGGGAACTCGCAGGGAATACAGCTCCGAGAGCTGGCCGATCTCGGGCGGGATCGGGCCGGTGATCGAGTTGTAGTTGAGGTTCCTGCGACGCCGAGGGGCGGTCGCGCGGCGCGCCGGGCGTCGGGGACGCGGGGGAAACTCGCAGGTACGACAGTTTCGTGAGCTGGCCGATCTCGGTCGGGATCGGGCCGGTGAGCTGGTTCGCTTCTATGTACCTGCGACGCGAGGGGCGGTCGCGCGGCGCGACGGGCGTCGGGGACGCGGAGGGAGCTCGCAGGGACTTCAGCGTCGTGAGCTGGCCGATCTCGGTCGGGATCGAGCCGGTGATCTGGTTGCCGCTGAGCCACCTACGACGTCGAGGGGCGGTCGCCGGCGCGCCGGGCGTCGGGGACGCGGAGGGAACTCGCAGGTACTCCAGCTTCGCGAGCTGGCCGATCTCGGTCGGGATCGGGCCGGTGATGTCGTTGTACTCGAGGATTCTGCGACGCCGAGGGGCGGTCGCGCGGCGCGCCGGGCGTCGGGGACGCGGGCGGAGCTCACAAGCGCGTCTCATCCGGGTCGTAGCACTCGGTGAAGATCTGAACGTTGGGAGCGGTGCACTCGGTTAGTCGACGGAGGAGGCCCTTGGCGTACTCGGACTCATCTTGCTCGCGCAGGGCCTCGACCTCCGACTGCGGCGCGGCGTCGTTCGCCGCCGACTCCTTGAACGACGGGAGGCTCGCTTCCGCCTCCACCGCGCGCGACTCCGCCGCCGCGAGCTGCTCGCGCAGGTCCTCGTTCTCCAGCGCGGACTCCTTGGCTTGGGTCGCCGTCGCCGCAAGGCTCGCTTCGGCCGTCGCCGCGCGCAGGAGCTCCTCGAACTTCGACCGCGAGGCCGGCGACGGATTTAAGAGACGCTTGACGAAGGCCTCCGCGGGCGACTCCGCCGACGTCGCGAGCAGTTGCTCGCGCAGGAGCTCGCTCTCGATGTTGTCGTAGAGGCGCGTCGGGCTTTTGATGGGCATGGGCGGCGTTAGCAGCTCGCGTAGGCCGTCGCTCCCCCCCCGCGGTTCATCGATGCGTAGCGGCTCGAGCGACGACCTGTTTTCGAATCTTCAACGTCACTTCAACGTGAGCGACCTCGAAGGTTTTCCGCGTCTTGTGCTCTCCGTGAAGCACTCGACAAGGGGAAACGCTCGTCCGAAAATCAGCCGAATCGACTTTGGTGTTGAAGTTTGGTTGAAGGCACTTTGTTTTCGACACAAACAGCTGCTCATCTTGCCCGGCGAACCCGGGTCCCGGCTTGCGCGTGCGCGGGTGCGTGGCGTCGTAGACGCGCTGCGCCTCGGCGGTAATGATCAGAAACGTACAGAAGCCCTTGCGCCAGTCCTTGCGCCAGTTCATGGTTCACTTTGCCTGCGGCGGCGCGATGTC